AGACAAAAAGTAGCAGCCTATTTGACACAAACTTAGATTTATCTCCAATAGCCAGATGCATGGTTAAGTTTACATGTAAAGGTAGACACACTTTTAAGTCACCTTCAACATTGTTTTGAAGGAAAGACCTAAGTTTTTCAGGGACAGGTTACTGAGGCAAAATGAATTCTTGATAAAGTCCTCTTCAATCTCTTTTTGAAAACAGTTCAGACCACAGGTCTGAGCTGCATACATTCCGATCAGGTGCAAGAGTCTGTGCACTTACAGGTTCAAGAAAACAAAATTTACAAATTAGGCTACTCAGATTCCAGTTAATAGTTCAGGCACATTTGTTCATAGTCTGATGAAAGCATACAACTGAAGTACCTCATTAATTTCAATCTGTCAACATGCTACTGAGGAGTTTGAAATGTCCAATTTAGTTTTTAAAAACAGTGCAAGAAAACAGGTACAGCTCTATTCACTGTCCACAAAGGGGAGCATCAAAATATATAAGTTGTCAGAAAACCAAAAAATATCCAGGTTAACATCATGAAAGTTAGTATCTCAAAAGCTTAAGCAAAAAAAAAAAAAAAATCAGGTCACATTTGATGGTGCAAACAATTACAGGAAATACAGCCTATTCCACATTCAGGAAAAGCCCTCTCTTCCCACAGGTTTGCACCAGTCTGATAAAAACAATTCAGCTTCCTAGTTATTATGATGTGCTCTTTAAACATCCTTGTTAATCCACAGAAGACTTATTTACACATAAAAAGTTAAAAGCACACATATGGAAAAATAACTGTAACCTAAACAAAACTGTAACTTTCACATTTTATGAAAGCAGTTCTTAAAAAAAAAGTTTCCTCAATACACTTCTTACATTTAAGCTGATCTTCAAAAACAAAATGCTGCATGACAGAGATCATCTACCAGGTTGAGCACTAAAATTTTCTGAGATCAAGAAGTAGCATAGAGTTCAGAAAGGAGAACATGCTTTGGATAATACACGCAGCATAGAAATGGACCTCAAAAAAGCACATGTACATTCTGTACCCGAACCAGATTAGATGTACTGTTCACCTAAACTCACAGGTCTCTATCTCTTGCTGCATACAATTACAAGAAGTAACCACAGCAGAAGCCCATTCGAGTTCTGTTTTTAAATACTGGCATGTAACAATAAATAAGTAATAACAAAAAAACTACCCTAGCATTCCAGTAGGGAAGGCAATCCCACCTTTTATTTGTTTGAATTCTTAGGGTTATGACTTTATTTCTTCATTTCGATCAGCACACAAAATAAAAGACAATGGCTGATCCTAATATTATTCTTTTCAAGCATAAACAAAGCCTTCAGGAAAATGGTTGTATTATAACTAAAAAAAAACCTAAAAACAAACACCTACCTAAAGCACACAACAACGAACTAGAAGAAGCAAATCAAATGACAGGGTGGAGGGGGCAAAGAGGGAATGTGAACCCTATAGCTTTATTTTTGTATTATGTATACCTACATATACACGCACTTGCCCCAAATACTTGGTATTCTCAAGGGTGCCAGGAAACAACTGATGAAACCTTGAAATAATACACTTTTCAGTAAGCACATTAAATCCTGCAGACTTTTCCAGCAAACCTGCAGTTCACTATCACTAAACCCTTCTGCTGGAGGATGTCAGCGGAGCACACAGCTCAAGGTATTTAACACAGCCCCCACTGGTAACCAGGAGAGGTGTTTCACAGGGATACAGTCGCTCCAACTTCTCAACTGTTCACTGCCTGTTCCACCTATGGAATACTGCCTGTAGGCACACAACACGTGGAGGTCCATGCAAATACAGATACCTGCACAAATCCACCAGTATTTTGTCATTCTTTCGCGTCTTCTGCCAGGTTTGATAATTTTACTGCCCGAGTCAATAGTGGTGCTCGCGGACTCACGCCTCGGAAAAAAAAATAACTGGCGCCCCTTAGTGTTCAATTTCTGAAGTCTTGAAGCAATTTACTAGATTTGCATGAAACTTTTTTTTCAACATTCCAAAAAGTTTTCTGCCTCCACAATACTTCCACCCATTTGCCAACGTAAACAGGAAAAGCAGAAAAGCTTAAAGGGATAGCGGGCTTCTTCCAGAGACCATTTAGGAACACAGATTATATTTTATTTGCTTTTCTTTTGAAGAAGAGAGCGAAGAATAGTTCCAACACAGTCCTTAAACTTTTGTCAGCAAGTCACAAGAGAGCCCTCGCTTTGGAACTCCAATACTTTGCAAACAGACTTCCAGTTTTCAGTATTTCAAAATATACTACAAGATATAAGTATTTTGGGAATTCCTTTTTCAGTGTCCTTTTTGCATCGGGTAATGTTTTTCTTCCTTTTGTTCTCTGAAAATAAAAAAACAGCTTCAGGCCTCCTCCGGCCAAATACATAAAGTTGAAGACATTTAAGAATTTAAAAATCCATTATCAAACCTCTGGAAGGCTCATTTGTGCTATAATGAAGTCTTCTCAATCAAGTTTCTTCTTGATGTTTATTGTAAATCTAACTACTCTGAAGAGGTGTTCACTGTGATGACCAAGAACATAAGTTCTAAAATAGTTTTGCTCTTCATATCCACATTTGTGCCAATATAAATTCAAACTCCTCCAAGTATCTTGAAAATAAAAATAGGCTCTCCCATTATAATGCTTCCCACAATCCATATTTTAGTATTCTTCACCGTTTGTTTGGGTTTCTTTAAATTCCTCTATCGTTTATTTCAGAAGGTAGCATTTTCTCGACATGCTATTTTTGTGTCGTACTACAGTCGCTATCTCATTTTTACAGTCTTGGCAGAGGGCGGGGAGTTGTTCTACCAAATATAACCAGTTCTTTCATCTTCCGAGGTCAACAACTTCCCAAACTTCTTTTAGCGAAGAGGAAGACATCCGCAAACAAGAACCCTGACTCAAAATCTCGAAAATCAGTACTTCATACTAAGAATCCCAACAAGCTGAAACTGTATAAATTATTTATGGTCACATCATATTCTACAAAGCTATCAAATACAATTAAACAAACAGGTCCAAGTCTCCATAAAGCCTAACTTTAAAGTCATAGCAAAGGAAATGCCTTCGACAAGAAAAACAAATCTGTGAGCCCGAGTACAAGGCGAATTTAAAATACTAAGAACAAGTGTTTCTCCTAATTTTTCATACACAGTGGATCTCTTACTGTAGTGGGAAAACGTATGGGACACAGGAAGCTCCCAGTTTGTACTTTTCTTGTTAATTTCCAAACCGTGATTATTTATTTGTGAAATCCTAACCCTAAACAAAGTTATTAGGGAAAAAAATGGGGGCATGGGGGGGCCTCGCTCCGTGCCAGGACCGGGTGCGAGGCTGGGGTGGACGTTTGGCAGGAGCAGACCAGGCAATTTCGTAATCTTTTCTGTTTCTCCCCCTTCACTAAAGTCACACGTAGGAGTCTTTCAAGTTCAGTTTCTTTAAAAGGTAAGGACAGCTTGAGAGAAGAATTTGCTCGCTTCCCTTGCGATATAGGAAAATCGTAATTAGTTTGCGGCCAGTTCGGGGTGGGGTAGATCTGGAGCCGAAGAAAGAGCTCAGCCCCCCTCCGCCTTAGTCATTCAAGTCCAAGCAGCTTCCAGAACAGCCAAATCTCGAAACCAAACACCCCCCGCCCCCCCGGCGGGGGCCCTGGGGCCGGGCGGCGGAGCGCTCCGAGGGCGCCGGCAGGACCCCAGTGTCCCCCGCCGCCGCGGGAGGGAGGGATGGAGGGAGGGGAGCGCCAGCCGCCAGCCAGCCTTTCCCCTCCTCCCTGCCTTCCCCCAGAGCGCATTCCTGAGCTCCTCTCCTCGCTCCCTCCCCTCCGTGCTGTAGTTACCCTTCCCCCGGTTTAAGGAGATAGTGCGGAAAAGGGTAAAAATACAAAAAAAAAAAAAAAAAAGGAAAAAAAAATAAGGGGGAAAACCCTCCTGGGAGATAGGGGACCCGCGCGGCCGGGGCTGCCTCTCCCCTCCCACTCGCTCCCCGAGTCTCCCGGCACCGCGCGGCGGCGGCCAGGGCGGGGAGAGCCCGCACTTCCCCTTTGTTTTCGGCTCCCCAGCCGGGGCCGGGAGCGTGCGGGGAGCAGCGGGGAGAGCGGAACAGGCCCCGGGCCGTCCCCGCAGCCCGGCCGGGCCGGGGCGGGGGGCCGAGCGGGATTCCCGGGCCGGGGGAGGCAGGGCAGGGCAGCGGGGCGGGGGCGGCCGGGTGAGCGCTTTTACCTTCGTCCAGCAGCCTCTCGAGGTGGTTGAAGATCCCGCAGAAGTTGGGGAGGCTGCTCATCAGCTTCTTGTCGTTCATCAGCTGCATCAGGTAATCGGGGCTCGGCTTCGGCTTCTCCTTGGTTTCCATTTCCCCAACCATATTCCAAGCCCGCGCAGAGACGGCGAGCGCCCGCAGCAGCTCTGCCGAGCAACGCGACCGCGGCACGGGGCGCCCGGCTGGATCCGGGCGGGCAGGGAGGCGGTGGGGGAGGGGAGGGGGCTCAGTGCTATGTCATCTTGATGCATCATATCCAGGAATTTAGACCCAGTTTCCGCGGGGCCCCAGGGGCCAAGAAAAAAAAAAAAAAAAAAAAGAAAAAAAAGAGGAAACTCGGTAGAAACCCCCGTGCGGGCTGCGCCCTCCTCTCCGGGCACAAGGACCCGCTGCCGCCTCTCGGTGCTGCCGCCGCCGCTTCCCTGCTCCGTGCGCCCTCGGCCGGCGCAGTCCTCGGTGTGTCCCCCCTCCTCCTCCTCCTCCCGCGCACACACACGCCGAGCCCGGTTCTCCTCTCGGCGCTGCCCCCTGTCTCCGCGGCGGGGGAGGGAGGGAGGGGACGCGCGGGGCGGGCGGGCGCTGCTGGCGCAGCGCCGCTTGGCGGAGCCACAGCTGTCCCTCCCTCCCTGCTTCCCTCCCTTCCGCTCCGGGGGCCCGGGGCGGCGGCGAGGGTACAGCGGGCTTCCCGTGCGGCTCCCGCCCGGCCCCGCCGCGCGGAGTGGGCGGTGCGGACGGCGCGAGGAGCGATTCCCGGTCGGTCCCGGGGCCGCGCGGGGAGCGGGGAAGCCGCCAGAGTGCCCCGGCAGCCACCCACCGGCTCCGCGGGGCGGGGAGGGGTGAGCAGGGAGAAGCGGGGCTGCCGGGGGCCGCTCTCCGCGGCTGCGGGGTCACGGGAGCGCCGGGTGGCCGCGGGCGGGGCGCGGAGGGGGTCGGGGTCCGTCCGCTAACGCGGGCGGGCACGGCCCGAGTTGAGCGCGCAGCGCCTGTCCCGGCCGGCAGCCCTGCCGCTGAGCTCCTTGGGGCCGAGCCTCCGGCGGGGCTGCGCCTCGCCCGTGTCGCTCGTAGGGCAGCGCCGCGATCGGCACCGGCCGTGGCTCCTTTGACGGGCTTGGATGGGAGACGTGACGGGAGCAGCGGTGTCTGGCAGCCAGAACCAAAATTACCGTGCTCCATCCGCTGTAGCCGCAGAGGCAAAGAAAGCAGCGCGACGCGGTTGCTTGTACGTATTCCTCCTTCCCCACGCAGCTACTCGGTGCTCTTCTTGGTGTTCAGCACTTCGGAGGCTGTCAGGAAGCTTTGAGGCAGTTCGCGGTAGCTTGGCAGAGCTTTTGTAACAAAGCTGGATAAAAATCGCTGCATTCTTCACGTAGCTCGCTGAAAGCAGTCATATTTCATAGGTCTAGGTATAAAGTCTAGCTGTTGCTTGAAATCTGTAAAAAATTCAGATGCATTTCAATACATACTGCACAGTATTTGAAGATACTTTCAATGTTAGGTTAATGGCAATGAACAATGCTTCCTAAACTAAAAAGAAACAGACACACGTCATCTTGACAGGTGTACAATGTCATTGGGTATTGTCAAGCAGTGTTAACTCTGCTTTTCCTGAAAGATGTGCATTGACAAAAATATAGAGAATGCATAGTTCTCATAACAGTAAGAATGCCTTGGATTATTGCATTGTGTCCAGTGTTCATTGTATATTCCCCCTTTAAACAGGCAGACAGACCTCATTATTTGGACACTGGAGTTTTTGTGTCATTTCAGGGTTTTGTTTACATTAGTAGAAATTAATGGCTTATGTAAGGTAAGTCAATCCTACTGCTTCCATCCTTAAAAAATTGTATATTCGCTAAGAAAATAATGTCTTTGTTATCAAAGAATAGCAGTGTTACAAACCATTATTTTAAATATAGATTCTTAGTTCATCAATAGCTTGCCCACAACACACCGCAGTGTGCTCATGGATGACAAAACAATGCGGTTTCTATTTAGTAACATGATCTTGTTTGCTCTGTTCTAACCTTGTCTTAAGATTGTGACAAGCTAAAATACAACTTTACATGCTTAACAAAATTGCTATTGTTTTGTTTCTTGTAGACCAGTCTGGACAAGGATGCATTTTTGTAGCCCTTTGCTACCAGCCCTTAGCTGGTGAGTGAAGGCTCTTTTTAACCCCGAGAAACCATGCTGTCGAATCCTTCCATTTGATTAAGGGCATCTGCTGAACAGCAAGCTTTCCTCTTAAAATTAGATGAACGTACGTGATGTTAGAATAATTGTTCTGGACTGATGATTCTCACAGTAAAAATAGCATATGGAGATTTTCAGCAGATTTGGTGCAGCTGTTCCCATACCACTTCATTATTGCTTCTTGCACGTAGAGAGTTTCCAGTGCTCAATTGTAAGCAGACAATACAAGGTAAGAAATACCAGCACAAGTTGTTGTGCAGTAACACCAGTAATCTACTAATGGGAACAATATAGTTTGCTCTAATATATTTTGTTCTCATTTAGTGAAAACTGAGATGGTGCACATCAACCCTTGTGGAATCACTCATGCCAGGGCAATGCAAAATTCAAGCTCTGGTTTGCTCGGTTGTTATGCTGAATTATTTTCTCAGCCAGAGCAGTACAGAAATTGAGGCAAAGCTATGTGGTGAAGCTGCCCGTTTAATTAGGCATAAATGACAGGAAGAGTTCTCATCCTTGATTTTTTCCATAGATGCTTCAAAACTCTGAATTTAAGTCTTTAGGAAAAAGCCCTTGGAAAAGCATAATGTTTTAATAAAATGCAAAAAGCTCATAATTGGTTTCAGATAGGCAAATCAACATGGTGTCTTTCTTTAGCAAGTACACAGCAAAAACCAAAAACACTACCTGAAAACCCCTATCAGCATACTTTACGTTTTTCTCTCTCCCTTTACCTTCCCACACTCCCACATTGTATTAAAGGGTGTTTTAAGAATTCCTGGGAGAATAAAGTTGAATTAATTGAGGTTAAAGAGCTGTGAGAAGGCATAGCTCCCATCAAGACTGGCATGACTACAGCCTGATCTATTAAAACAGTAGAAATGCTTTTGCACTCTCTTAATTTTACAGCTTTCCCATGGGGAAGGAAGGCTGGGGGGAGGACATGGTACAGGCCTGGGTAAACAGGTTCTGTGATATGGGGGAGAGGTGTGGTGTTGATATCAGGGAAGGGGAGGGGGCAGGGAGGTAGAGTTTGCTTAGTCTGTTTAAAGATAACCAGGTCTTGTGGTCTTGTACGGTTCTTTTGGTAATTACCCAATGTCTCAGCTTCTATCTAGACACAAGCAGAAATTCCTATCTTCTGCTGTGTTTTCATCTAGGTAGCCCTTCTTGTATCATGTAACCTGTAGTACTCTCCAAGTTTCTCTTTTAAGGCGAAGTTTTATTGCATTAATCTAATCTCAAAGTTAAAAGAATTATGATAATGCCAGCAGCAGCCTCTGTGTATTACAGTAAAGGCCTGCAATGATCATAAAAAGCAAATTCAATTACTGCTATAATGTTCATAGCTGATAACACCTTTGGAAATAGAGGCAAAGGCTAATGACTACTGGGAAGCACGCTCTTTCAAAAGTGTTGGCTATTACTTCCAGTGTCTCTGTTGGCCAAATCATAGGCATAGGCTGTTGGATGTCATCAGCCTTCTGTGATGCTGTCCATAACAGGAAGGTATTTATATGCTGTACTACTCTTCTTTAGGGAAAGAAGCAATTCTTCACTCACCCATTACAGCCACTTGAAAAAAATACATTGTGTGTGTGATTCAGTATAGAATCATTCATGGTGTACAAAGAGTAGAGCTACTGTAATCAAACATGCCCAAAAACAGATGAGCATCTGAAATACATTTATCTCTGCAGAGTGATGAATTCCTTAACAGAGTAAGGTCTACAGCCAAACTAAAAATCTCAAGGACCAGTTACATGAAAAGTCTGTGCTGTGTTTGACAACAAAAACATATTTCCCTTGACAGTAAAGCAAACTGACAGGTACCTTTACAAGCAGAAGCTGTAGTAGTGTGTCATTCAAAGAAGTAAGCAGATGATGTAGTGTTCAAAAGGGACGTGTCTGAGTATTCTGTGTAATCCTGGAAGAGATAATGCCTGTATTTGTCCAGTAGGGTTGTTATGTGATTGCTGAAGAGCTGAAAGATGAAGACTTTAAGCACACCTTAGTCTGGAAAGATTCAGATTTGTATCTCTTATACTTTAAAAGCTCCTTCGAGCTGTACAACAACTGTGAAGAAGGGTGTAGTAAGCCACAATATCAACTCCTGGTAGAACTGGCTCTTCCTCAGGCTGGAATAAAGGAGCCAGAAGAGATACCTTTGTGATTCATCCACTTACACAAGAGTAGGAAGAGCTACATTCTCGTTGTTCCTGTGGCTGTGTATTAATTATGCAGTCATTAAGCTGGGGAGAAAAGACAATGCTAAGTGAAAATAAAGGGTTTTTTTCCACTTTTGGCCTAAATCTTGTACCCATCAGCTTTCTTTATAAGGTGTGTGTTTCATATCTGTTACAGGACACTGTTACCACTGTTACACGGATAGGAAGGAGGGGACTAAATTCTGCTTGATAAAATAGTAAGCATAACTCTCAATAGTTAGGGAGGGCAGGGGTACCTCTGTGTTGGGCTTCACATTATCTACCTGCCTATCTAGAGTTAAGCACGGAAAAGATGTAAATTGATACATACTAGAGTGTATTACAGCTGTGTTCAAGACTACCAAGACTATAGAATTATCACCTAGGGGATTGCACTTTGGAGTAAATTCCATGGGTTTGCAATAGCTGTACATGCAGTTTCTTTAAGTGCTAGGCAGACATTTTTTCTAGAAAAGATAGCCTTTTAGCAAGAATAAGAGGTGTGTCTATCTAGAGAGGGTGGTGCTTCTGCTGTGCTCTTGAGAAATTTCTGTGCATTAAAAACAAAGTTTAGATGGATTTCATTTCCCACTGTCCACTAGGAGATGAAAATGAGGTCTCAGGTATGTCAGTATTACAGCATTGTTGAGAAAGGCAGAAAATGGTTAGAAGGAGGAAAGGAAAGGCAATCTGACGAGGCATAGAAAAGAAAAAAATGCTAGCAGTTAGAGAAAAAACTAAATTGAGGTACTGCATTATTAACATAAAATGTATCCACTTTATCATCTTCATAACAGCATTTAAAATTAAAAGGCAGGGGCAACACTATTTACAGAACATATTTGAATCCTGTATTTTTAAGGTATGTTTTGCCTCTAAGCTCATAATATTCCTACACCTTATAATTTATAAACACTGGCATTGTTTTAGTGCATTTTACAGGTGGATTATCAGTAATTGATAGCTCTTCTAGGTCAATAAAAGAAGCCAACTAATTCCTTGGAACACACCATGCAGTGTTTTCCCAGTGTTTCTAGCCCCATGGCTTCAGTTAGTGTGCTAGGTTATGACACTTTTCCACTTCTGCAGTCACACAATTATTACCTTAGCTGTGTAGCTCTGTGCTCACATGGGGAGGAATTTCAAGTGGCTTCTGGCCTGTCTCTTTTGGTAGCCAGCCCGTGCCCCACATTGCAAAGTGGGAGTAGCAGTGAGTGTGTGTTACTGTGAATGCTGCCCAGACCTATGGGGCACTGAAATAGCCATTGCTAAATATAATACCTGCCAGTGGAAGTCCAGCTAATGCACATTCAAATTTTAAAAATTACAGTATTATCATATCTGGAAATTAGGAATATTGAGAGCCCAGAAATATTTCAGACACATTTGGGGGTTTTTACCTTCTGTTTGTTTTGAAGTACATGCCCAAGTTTAAAACTGTCCAGGATGACATTGTGCATTTTAATTGATGCAGTCATGTCAAATATAGTAGTACCCTCAGCAGATTTTTTTAAATTTGATACCTGTAGCTAAAAATACAGTGTTGAAAGACATACTTGTGTGTAAGATACATAACCAGTATTTTTACTTTTCACCACAGTGAGAAGTGTTTTCACCTAAACAATAGGATTAAAAAAATAAGTAGTTCATATATGGGAAATTTGCAGATTTATTTTGGCCACCACAGTGGCAAAGAGCTGACACCTAAAGAAACAGGTAAGTTTTGTTTTTCAGGTGCACCATGTTCGGTAAAATACCAGAGTGTATTGGTTACTGTGAAATATGAATGTTTTCAGTCCTTAACTTTGTAAATAGATTTAAATTAGCCATTCTTCTCAATTATGACTAAAACAGAATTTAAAATGCAGCTGAAGCATTAATTTAACTTTTCATTTTAACGTGCGAAATGTGAATGCATATGTATATTGACTTACACTGTGGGATTGCATATGGTGATGTGTTGCATATGGTTCTTAATGTTCAGTACTTACACAGCAGCATTTCTTACAAAAGGAGCATATATTTAACTGGACAGAAAACATCTAAACAAATGATAAGAAAACTTCAGCCTTTTTTAAAACTGCAGTAATGAGCAAGAAACATTTGTATTGTTTGACCTTCTAAGAAAATGTAATTAATCAGTCTGAAAAGGCCAGAGATATATATTTTTTTTTTACTAGAATTCTTCTTTTTTTACCTGCTGAAAATACTTTATATTTTCCAAGTCTTTAGTAAATGTGAATCCTTGTTTTAATGGTGAAGAGAAATATGTGGAGCTACAAAGCTGTGAGAAAAGAAAGGGACTAAGCTGTACGAGTGTTGAAAGCTTCTGGAGATGAGACAGAGTTGCTCAACAGTGTTCATCCAAAGCAAAGGACAGAGCAGTGCTACAGTGCTTGTTGATTACCCACACAAAGACCATTGTGCTTCCATGCTGTAGTATTCTCAGAGGCTCTTTTTTAATCTGCCCATTGCTATTGGTGCCTTTTCTCTAAAAGGAAACAACAGCGTTCAGTTTCTTAATATTTTCTAATGGTCCTTTTTCACTTTAGGAAGCCTAAACTCTGTTTTGATTGTGGGTGACTCATTGTCTCTCATTTGTTCCTCCTACCCACAGTCTTTCTGTTGAGTGTGGGAGATTTTTCCTGGAATATAGTAGCCACATATATTTGAATTATCATATGCCCTGGAATCCATTTCACTGTTTCCTACTCTTCAGAAGCTATGAAACATTTTGTAGTCAAATACTTCAAGTTGCTTGCATGAAAGACATTATAAAAGTGCAGAGCATTATTGCGTAACCACTCACATAAATTCAGAATTTCCTTACAGAAACAGGAAGCATCCCAAATCTCATGCCATCTTTGTTGGATATTTGTAGGCTGATGCATTTTAAGTCCCTATTTGACTGTCACCAGAGCTCAAAGGCCAAGGCATAACAATCAGTAAAACATGACTCTTGGGCTCAGAGCCAAAAGGTGGACATTGCTGGCTTGTTTGCTTATCTAGGAGGTCTGGCTCATTTTGAGCTGCAGTCACATTATACAAGATGGTATCATCCTGTATAACCAGTGCTGGATCTGATTATTTAGAACGAATTCATTGCTTGATCCTAGTAAGTCGCTGTTACAAGTTCATAAGCACAATAAAGGATAGGATTATATAACCAGTGCTGGATCTGATTATTGTGTAGAACCAATTCATTGCTTGATCCTAGTAAGTCGCTGTTACAAGTTCATAAGCACAATAAAGGATAGGATTCGCTTGCCTTGTGGTATTCCACTTGACTCTCCAGAAGTTCACTTTAGTCACATAGTTTTTGCATGGCATTTGCCTGCTCTGTGCAGATGTGTTTTACACCTCTTGGACGTCTGGAGTGGCCATTGCAAAGTGTTGAGCCGTCAGCTGCATCTCACTGCAAACATACAGAAACGTTTTTTGTTAACCACTTCTGCTCTTGGCATAGTTTGAACAACAGCTTGGGTTCAGAATTTTGACAAGAACAGAACTGACTCTTGAAGGTAATGCAGTCATTCCCTAGCTTTGACTTTCAGAAGTGTGTTAATATTTTACATTCATCTAGCCCTTGTGTTGGGCACACCACAGAGTAGAGGCACAGGGGGATAAGCTGAAAAGTTCTCTGTGATGTAGAGGCAAAATACATACAAAAATCACTGCAGCTAAATTTGCAGTGTCAGGAAATCTCACTTTACACTGCTGGCCATTCTCAAATTCTTGATTTTTTTTAAAAAAAATTCTTCATGTGAAATGTTTTGTGCTTGGTCTCAGATTATGACTGAAATATAGGGAAGGGAAAAAATGCATTTCTTGTAGGTTCAAATTACTTCTGTACAGATCCATTCATGTGAGTCTCGATATTCCTGTTTGTTTAGAACGTGAGAAGTTTCCAACTTTAGAACTTTTCTTTGTAGATGCTTTTAAGGACCCTTCTCTAATAGGCAGCTTTTTATTATGGAAGTTACTGTACAGTTCATAAATAAGGGTGATCACTGAAATGTTAATGTTATCTCTTTTGGTATTGTATTTGTTTAAAAATGCATCTATGAAAGTTTTATGGACAGTTCTTCACCTTTTAGGTATTTAAATAACTTCTCAAATTGTTAAAGAAAGGTGATTACACTTCTTTGATTGCAGGGGATTTTTTTGACAGAACAGGTATGACAGCTGTCTCTGGTTTTAGCACGTGCATACCCTACACATCTCAAATCCTGATAGGACTAAAAAACTGTTAACCTGTCAGTACAGCAGAGAAATGCAGAAATCTTTCCCAGAGAGTATACTCTGCTGTTCAATTTTCATAACAATACTGTTTGTATATGTATTAACAAATAAAAACTTGGTCTGGCAGCATGCACATATGAAAGTTTTATGGACAGTTCTTCACCTTTTAGGTATTTAAATAACTTCTCAAATTGTTAAAGAAAGGTGATTACACTTTGATTTTGCAGAAGATTTTTTTGACAGAACAGGTATGACAGTTGTATGACACGGTTTTAGCACATGCATACCCTACACATCTCAAATCCTGATAGGACTAAAAACCTGTTACCCTGTCAGTACAGCAGAGAAATGCAGAAATCAGTTTCCCAGAGAGTATACTCTGCTGTTCAATTTTCATAACAATACTGTTTGTATATGTATTAACAAATAAAATCTTGGTCTGGCAGCATGCTCAGAAAACAGGAGGTTGTGGCACGAACCATACAGGAAAAAAAAGTACTGTTAATATTTGTTGTAATGTTTTGATTAAAGAAGGTCAACATGAAAATACATATTAAATAATCCAACTTAGACAGCTTTCCTTCTTCCCACTGTAGAAGGGTCTGTAAAGTTCCTGTTCTTTGGGAGGCTGGCAAACCATTTCACTGCTAGAGGTGGAAGGAAGGCACTGCTTGACCTAAAGCATTTCCCCATCTCTAGAATTTTTCTACTTGATTTTGAGAAGTCATGACCTAGCCAATTAGATGGCCAATTTTCAGGCCAGAAGGTGGTCTTCCCTTTAGCAAGTCAATTAAAATATACATCCCTACCTTGGTTTTCCTTCCAGGTAGTCTATTTATAGCTATCCATCTGATTTCCATTACTAGAGGCATAATTGATCTCTTGTCCCATTTTGAAGCTTATATGCACCTGTCTTACAGGTTCATAGCAAAAATCAATTATCCCTCTGGCTACAGATACATCCTGGTGCTTCATTAGGAGTTTGTCTGTGTAGGTGGAGTCCTGCATGTCAGAGTGGCACCAGGTGACGAGCTGGGGAGTCAGAGCAGCTTGCATGCTCCTGCTTGGACCTGATGTCACACTGGTGTGGTCACTGACAGGGTTTTGAGGAGGTCTGGTCACAAAAACCAAAAACCAGCCAACCAAAAAACCCCACTTCAGCTGAGGTTGTTTAAAGAGGAGACTGAAACAGGTTAATTTGAAAACAGCGTGCTTGGACTCTTCTGTTTTCACAAGTCCGTAATAGAAAATTAGCAGTGTAGTAAGATAAGTGATTATGTGACTGCAATGACCACTTTGCATGTAGTATTTATGTAACTTTGCTGTAATTCAATTTACCTGGCTGATGTGGAGTTTGATTAATTCAGTAAGTTACACCTATTTCATTACAAGTTTGTCCTCACAAAAAAAAAAGCAAACCAAAAGCAAAAAAAAAAAGAAAAAAACAAACACCACCCCCCCCAAAAAAAAAAATCTGTTTTGGATATTTGTGATCAAGAATTTTGTTTTCTGTGAAACCATTAGCTCTGTCTGATAAGACTTTAGTTGTCTTTATGCCCTTTTTGCTGAAAAGAATACCTAAAATCAGCAGTTGTAGATCAGAAGTCCTTGTATGTAGGTAGCATGATGTAATAACTCAAAATTCATTTATCTCAGATCATAAAAAATAATATATTATACATTCCCTCATTTAAAAAAAATTAAAATATATAAAATAAATTTATGGAATCCCAAACTATTCTGTGACTGTTCAATTGTGAGAGTTCAGTAAGTCCTGAATTTTATTGGTGGTCTGGTTTTTCATCTGTAATTTTTGATGGTGTTGTTTGTTACAAACAGTGGAGTTTTCTATGTAAATATATACAACCCTTGGTCCAAGTTGTATAGGTTTTTAGCATGCTTTAAGCTACATCATGATGTCATTATCTCTCATTAATTGTCAAATTACCTAAAATTACTTTTCGTATAACCTACTTGTCCTTTTATGTAAATTATTTAAGTTTGTATGTCAGTGTGTGGACCACAAGCAGGTAGAGAAATTTCTCCAGCTTCCTAAATGTGAAGTATTTTTCTTCTCCTCTGGCAAAATTACCCGCTAGAAGCAAACCCGGCTGAAGCTGGCACAGCCTTTGCAAAGGCAGCGTGGGTCATGCGCAGAGCCCAGCCAAGCAGCGAGACTGAGATTGTATTGACAAGAACAAGATGAATGGCCCCCTGGAGACTATGGGGTTTGTATGCTCGTTTCCACCACCTTTTCATCCTTTTGTACCCCCTTTCAGTTCATATGCAGATTAACTCAAAGCAAGTCCACACTAAATACTCTTTTTCACTTTAGTTTTGGAAGGTAGGTGGAGGATCTAAATATTTATGAGGCTTTTTTGCTCTGGTTTATGATGCACTCTTGTTGAATGTTGAGGAATTACGTTAATGAATGCATGCCTGCACACACAGACACAGAAACCAGGCAAAAGGAAAGAAAACCACACAAAGCATTGTCAGCTCTAATGTCAGTGCTTACTAAAACAGTTCCCATTAAAAAATAAAAAGGAAAGAGATTTAAAATCCATTGCCAGGAGAAAAATAAATTGTATGGCTGAGCACAAAAGAAAGAACAAAGTTTCATCTTTGCTTTCCTCAGCTGTAAATGAAGCTCTTGTTTCAGCTCTGAATAAAATTGAAATAAAACATGTTAATGAGAGCTTGTCTGAAGTCTTAACTGGATTTGTATTTTCAGTAATAAAAGACCAAGCTTCAGTCCTGTACAAGTTTCCTTTAACACCAGTCGTAATAAACATGATATTTTTTAGTGTGAAACAAGATGCAGTTAAATATACTTTAATTAGACTTCCAAGTCAGATAATTAAATGACACTGTTCTTGCCATGATCTTGCTAAGTTCAGTACACTTATTCAGGAGCCTTAGTTTTTATGAGACAGGATTTTTATGAAAATGGAACTTTTTTATTAAATAGAATATACTGAGATTATAGCCAGATATACTAGAATATTAATTTATTTTCAGAATGGTTAGTTCAAAACTGTAACTTAAGGAACATTTTTTCTATAGATGGAAAAGTAAATGGCATTAAAATTCTACTACTGAAATATGGGCATATTAATTATTTTACATTTACATTGTCAAAAAGAGTTGCCTCTTCAACTTACGATTATCTCTGCCTTCCTTCTATCCCTTTTTATTCTCTAGTGCACACATAGCTATGCCAGACAGGGCTGCAGCTCACACAAGTGGGACAGTAAATTCTGCAGAACAAGAGATTTTAAAATGTGCTTTTGTGCTATAATTAAAAAACATACTGAAGCAATTGCAAAATAGTAGCTCTTCAAGTGGAATAGTATTTCTCTGTCTAGACTCAATTTTTCATATTAAAAATATGCATATTTGAAGTTCATAAAACATTGTCCTAATAAATGTTTGTTTTTATGGTACTTCATGTTCTAGGTATTCGGTTACCTATGTAATTAAATTGAATAAACCCATCCATATTTCATTTGTTCTGAACTTCTTGGTTTTGATCTTAAAACACTGATTTTGCTATTTTCAGTTACTTTGCCTGTGTTACTCAAGGGTTAAGCGAAACAACTTTGTTTAGCAGATCCCAAAACAGTAAAGCTGTATATGACCTAATAAAAAATTAGTATTTAACAATTGAAATTGCATCATTTTTGTTTAAGCTGTTATCCTTTAGCGTAAATCTTCTCCCTCTTGCCTTTTTTTTAATATAAGTCTACATAGCCAATTGTGACCACAGATACCATATTAGATATTGCTCAAGTACTTAAACTCCTTGAATGTGAATTTAAAAAAAAATAAAAATCTCAGTTTTCTCTGGCAACGGGTGAGATTTCAAATTTACCTGGACTTCTCCATCCTGGAACAACTGAAGCACTTATG